GGCAAAAAAGGTGTTATGTTCTTCCCAGCCCTTCCCTCAACATCAGAACAGCCATACTGGGTCAGACCAAGGGTCCATCTAGCCCACTATCCTTCCAACGGGCCAATGCCAGGTGCTTCAGAGGGAATGAACAGAACTGGGCAATTTCAAGTGATTCATCCCCTGTCATCCACTCCCAGCTTCTGTCAGTTGGAGGTTTAGGGACACCTAGAGTATGGGGTTTCATCCTAGGCTTTACTAGCCACATGCCATGGCTAACTTTATCTTCTCTTTTCAGTCTGTGTGTAAAGACTCCTTAATCCCATGACCAGCCCTCATGCTGAGATAGCAGGAGCAGCCCTATCTGGTTTCCTCTCCGGGCACCTAGCAATGAGCACACCTGATCTCTGTCCATGTTGGTTTGACTGGTTTTGAGTTGTCTGCCTTGTAACATTTCCCTTATTGACTGAAAATAAGGACTGCAAGTTGTTACACAACCCTTTCCATGCAGCTGCAATCATCCCGTGTGTTGCGTGAATTTGTGATGCTGATCTATGAAGGAGACTTGGACTGGAAATGCTGACAGCACGTCTTTGTCTTTGCCTGTTCTTGGCATTTAATGTTCACAAACTCTATTTTCAGCTTAATATGTTTTTTTTATAAGCTTGTCACTTTGACATCAGCCAGATTCAAAGTGCCTGCAATAAACTGGATGGGTTGCATTCCTAACTAAGTTGGAATAATTATTGATCTGCTTTACCAAGTTTCACATCTGAGTGACTTTTATTTATTTGTTTCTTTGTTTGTTTGCGCCACTTTTAAATATTTATTTATTTATAATATTTGGAAACACGCTGAGAACCTCAGGCTTTCTGATTCAAGCCTGAAAACAAATCCAGAACAATATTTTCTCTCTTCATTGTCCTTGTTGTTGTTATTTAACATTTGTATTGCAAGAAACAATGGAAGGCCATTGTGAACAATGGAAGACTGAGCCCCAGTGTGCCAGGTGCTGTATGAACATATAATAAATGGCAGTCTCTGCCCCAAGGAATTTACAATCTAAAAAATAGACAGCAGTCCTGCGGAAACGCCATCCCGAATTATGACATGTCAAACTCCTGTGTAAGCGCAGGGCGGCAGTCCAAACCAGCAAGTTGCTGAGTGCCCTCGGCTCCCCTTCTGGCCAGCTTGGTGCGCTCCATGACTCATCACTTTGTGATGTTTTAACTCACTCTCCAGCCAATGGGAAGTGTTGATTTCAGACTGCAGGGCTGCCCAGAAAGGTCAAGAGGCTTGGGACTATTTCAGACAGAAAAAGGTAGGAATGAATTCCAAATATGAGAGGCCGCTCTGAGAGTTGCAGCAGGTCCTTCTCCTGTATAGCAAGCGAGTTCCAACCTGAGTACATCAACTGATCTCAGCTGCAGCAGTACAGAGTGGGGACAGAGGCATCTTTCAAGTGGAAAAGTCTCAAGGCACTTAGGGCTTTGTAGGTCAGAAGTGACACTTTAAACTCCACCCGGAAGTCACCAGGCAGATCCCAGAGCATGAGCTCCCAGCAGGTTATCCCGTGCAACAAGCAGGCCACCACCTTCTTCAGCTTCTGAATAGATTCCATTGCCAGGAGAAGATCATCAACTAATGCAACAGACTGAAGTCCTGATGGCCCAGGGTCAAGATGGAGGCTTCCAGATGCTCAGAGAGTTGTCCTGCCTCCAGCTTTTCCATAATCTGAGCTGAGAATGGAGGATTAGATGCTGGTTCCCATCGGGATATGGTGTCAGCATCAAGAGATGGTTTTCTGAGCAGAGGCAAAACACAGCCTTCCTCTAAAGCAATCAGCACCCTGCTCACCCCTCAAGGGAGGTGTTGACAGTCTCTCCCAGCAAAGGCCTATAACTGGCCTTCACCAGCCAGGAGGGACAAGTGTTCAAACCACAGGTCATGGCTCAAAGTTCTCCTAACAGATTTAGAACCTCTAGCTGTGGTATTGGCGACAATTCAAGCAGAAATGAGCTAGGGTACCATTTATCCCCGCAGGATATTGATTGCCCTGCCACCGCAGCCCGGTCAGTACTGGATCAATTTCACCCACAAAGTAACCAGAAAATGTTGTCATGATCACATTGCATCCTGGATAGTTATCGATTCCACTCACTGCCGCAGTGTTCTGTGGTTCCCAGGGCATCCTGCGGATGCTACATCCTGCTCTGAAAACATTTTTAGACTAGTAGTATTGGCATATGTAAGCAATTTACATTTTTGAGCCAGGCGAGGCCAACAGGCCACTTACTGACATTCTCCTTGTGGGTTATAAGAAGCTAAATAGCTGGAGATGGGATTTGAGTTTTTATGATTTCGCTTTGATTAATTTTTGTTTTGTGCAGAACAAAGAGCATCTCATACAATATAAATATGTGCTTATGTCTGTGTAGCCTTTCTGCTGTTTAGATTGCAGCTGCTTCCCTGGACACCACTGTAATAAAGAATAAACAAACCATGGAATGGGGGGGAAGGTTTGCCATATTCTAAGTAGACTCCTCTCTTTACATTCCTCATATGTTCCCACTCCTTATTTGGAGACGTTATATTAAAGCCAGATTGCTTTAAAAAACAGCGTAGTTTGCTTTGATTTGTGCCTCTGATGCACACATGAATAGCTAGTTAGGCACACTAGACTGACCGCACAGTTACTGACTTGAATATATTCATGGTGATTGTGTGTGCAACTGCACTTGCATTTTGCATAGGCAATTGGGTGTCTGGGTATTTTGAAAATCTGGTCTTTAATCATTAATTTATAGTGTCCTCCTGCAGTACACAGGTATGAAATGTGAGAGTGCCAAGAGCTATGCATTCTTCAGCTGACATCTTCTCTTATAGCTCTCCTGTAGTAACACATTATCCCATAATCATCAGTCCAGTTAGGGAAAGAATCAGTCCAGTCATGCAACTGAAAAACCAGTTATATTTTATTTGTTTGTTTGTTTTGAATGAAGATTACAGAGTAACTTTCTTCACTCCAGAAGAGCTGGTGTGCACACCAACCCACCTCCTTTTCCTTAGAGCCACAGGAATCATTTGAAGTCATTACGGCTTTCTGCTTAGCTACAGTACAGCTCGCCAAGTGTCGCCTCTTTTGTTATGCTTTCCTTCTCACTGAAACTGTAACGCACAGTCTTCTAGGCATGCGTTGTCTCAGAGGGTCACACAGCCTACAATCAGACCAGTTTTCTGACGGTGTAAATGGTTTGAAGTCTGGCAGTGTGATCTAGTGCAGTGGCTCTCAAA